GGAGGCATCTAGCATAGAGATATAAGCATTTACCTTTTCAATATTACCTGTCTCTTCAATATTTCAATATCTATCACGCACTCTTTTAGTTAATTCGGTCACAGCTATTCTCCGATTTTTGGCTTCTTTTTGTTGTTCAGTTTGCACATATTCTATGAATGATTCCCGGCTTTCATATATCTCAAACCCACTTTCTTCAAACATTTCTTGAAACGCCCTCCATACATCACTAGTTAATAGCTTATTGCCATACATATGCTCATGAAAAATATGCTTACATGGCAACAAGTATCAATTGCGAAACATACAATAACAATCAAGAGAGGTTAAACCCGGGGTACCTTTTCCTTTTTCCAGCCTATTATTAACAGCGCAGGCTTCTTTAACAAGTAAATTTTGAAATGGAAGGGGAAACTTATGAATTTCCTCAAGAATATTGTTTTTGACTCCATAGGCAGACACTTTTTTTATATGAAAGTTAAAAGTGGCACTTTCTGATTCGGATTTTTTTTTATAATCGATGTCGACGATACCATGAACAGCACCTATATAAAGAATTAGAAGTGAGCAAGTAATTAAAAAAAAAAAAATTAAAAATAAAAAGATCATCACTAGAGTTTGGTTTCTAAACTCTAAACATACCAATTAAACCATGTAGAGAAGATGTTACCTTCTTTATTTTGCTGTGAAAGGATTCCAGTGGATTCATGGATGTAACTTGTAAAAGCAAAGGGGAATGTTGACGCGCCCACAAACCCCATTGTTCCGTGTTTTTTGCATAGTTTCTTCTAATATAATTTTGTAAAGCAGGGACAGAGCAATGACTAATAGCATTCTGAACAAGACTTTCACAGCCAATCTTGGTTCACTTGTGCATCGCAGCGATCATAATGTCCCAGATTTCTTTTTCATATATTTTTTGCATTCACGTTCTCATAACATGAATGACACAAAGTATAATTTGGCATTCTTGCTCACCGGCGGTTATACCGCGAAAAACCTTCTTAATGCTCTTAGCCTCGATACTGCTTTGATCTGAAAGCATGTAACGGGGAAACCAGCGACTACACTTGTTACGAATTATCAGTAATGCATTTGATACTGTGTCACTATCTTCATTGCTTACAAAAAAGTAAGCCCCCACATTCCAGCAGCCATAAGTTTACGAATGTAAAGAGTAAACAAATGCCAATCATACCAGTTGGTCTTGTGAGTCGAATCGATGAGCGTCAACCACCCATGGCGTTCAAGTTTTTTTAATTGTTCCGGATGCGCAAACACAATTCCCTTAGTTGAACATTGTAAAACACAATATTCCTCAACCAGATACTCCTGCTTTACTAAATAAGATATGGATTCCAAGATATCCAATTTTAAATTTGAATTTCCGATAAGGTGCGCTTCCATAGGTCCATGAACCTTATATTTAATGTTCGTAACTTTAACTCACACACACTTGCACCAAGATCTAACATAGTCATTGCATATTCTTTTACAGTGGCCGTGATTGCTGGAGGAGAATAATTTTTTGTTGCTTCCTGTTCAACCAAACTCCTAATAGTCTTCGATTGCTTTATCTTATCAACTTCTAATAGAGTGTGTATGTGGTTGGGGGAGTTTTTATATCGTTCTATTAGGACCACCTTCGAAGCAACAAACCAAGAAACTTTAATTTTCGCATGACATAGGCCAGATTGCCGTGTCTTCGTTATTTGGCGTTGTTCATTTGGTACATTTTCCTTTTGATGAGTACTCGATGTTCTATGCTTCATAAAACGGCAGGAAAAGGTCTTCCTAACATCCCTATTCACATATTTGTGTGAATCCCATTGTGTCCAGATATTTGAAACTAACGGCCACCAATTATCATTAAAATCCTGTATTGGAACTTCTAAAGCTCCATTTACATCAAAAAGAAGACTATGCTTTTCATCTGGTGTGAGGTTTGATACTGATGTGAATACAAAAGGTACAATATCCACAGCAACCGGAGGCTTACCAGACTTGATACTTGAAGAAGCAATGCCCAGAAGAGTAATACTCACAGCAACTAGTAAAGCACCAGACATGGTACTTGAAGAAGCGATACTCGAAAATACAAAAAGCAAATTTATTCGTTTTTTTTTCTTGCTTTTTTTCTTTTTTCTTTTTTCCTTGCCAATCTCTAAATGCTAAGAAAAAGATAATAAATATATTTTTTGTAACCCTTATAAAATAAAAAAATAAAAAAATATAGAAAACTATAAAAAAAAATACTTACAAACCCCACACTTAATTTTATCGTTCTCAACCCGGCAAAGTTTTTTATAGAAAAAAATATGTATTGTCTCTAGTATTGCTTATATATATAAAAAAAAAAAAAAGTAAATAAAAAAAAAAATTATCTATTTTTTTTAAAAGTTGCCAGGTTAATTTAAAGATTTTGAAAGTTTTATATTCAAATGTTGATTTGCGAGGGAAAAATCAAAAGAACCTATGAAAAAAACAAAAAAAACACTTATAAATTTTTCAAAAATTTATAAGAAAAAAAAATAGAAAAAACACGTTGTATTACAAAGTTCAAAAAATTTTTTTTTCATCTAAAATAACAATAATGCAGTGCTGACAAATCAAAATAATATATTCGACCAATCATAATCATAATTACTTCACGTGATGTGCCTCCGCTTTAGATGTCCCCCTTGTAAGGCAATTTTGCTATAAATTCATAACGTTGGTCATACTAATGGTATGTTTGGATGTTCATCAAATATTTGGTCAATTGTTCCAAACAATTCAGTATTTTGGTCATATTGTACGCTATCTTTAATCTGCCGAATCTTCAATTGGTATTGTTCTTTCTTTGTTTTGAGTTTCATAAGTGAGTAAACGAAGTCTTGATTTTTTAATAGTTCCATTAGTCCGGAATCCAATATTTTCCTGAGTATCAGATTTTCCTTTAATATTTTGGATGCATCTCGGGGTCGGAATGCTGCTAGATATTTGTAATTATAGTGGCTGTTTAGGAGTCTATTGACTCTATTGATTTTATTTTATATCTGGCCTTTTTCGTATTCAAGGTGTTTTTTATATTTTTCTATCTGCAGGATCTCAATTCTTAGTGTTGCTTCTACTTGTTTATGATGAGTAGTAAATTCATAGTCTGTCATCATTGGTAGTTTTTCTTGAATTTTGTCTTCATCTGCTAAGCTTTCTATTTCTTTATAGGGGTACTTAGCTTCATAGTTTATATAATCATTAGCAAGTTGTTCTTCTTGTTGTACTTCTTGCATTCTGACAAATACTGGTGTATCCTGTCGAATATTAATTCTAGTGGTTGTTTGATCATTGGTATGAGGGTTAATTCTTTTACTTTATTATAAGTATACCATTCCCATGGTGTTGCTTCTTCTGGTTCACATTGTTTCAGTTTTGAAATATGTTATATAGGTAAATAAATACAGTTCTTCATATCTTATATTTGGCTTCTGTTGGTGAGCAATATTTTTCTGCTACCCATTCTTGTGAACTTGGTTTAAATTCGGTCCATACTTTGATAAGTAGTTCTTTTTCCATTAAGATATTGGCTTCTTCTAAGCCTTCTCTTATTGCTGTATATTCATCACTCTCATATGGCTTCCTATTTTCGTCCAATTCTCCTTTTCCTCCATACCCTTGATAGTGATTCCAAAAAAACTTTTTTTGGATTAATTCTTTTAGATAATCCTATTTGATATCCTTTTTCTGAGTGATATCTAAATGGTGCAGTTTGTATGATTCTTCATTCTGGTAATTCTAAATGATGTATTAAGGATTGCACCAAAAACTCTAATTTTCGGCATGAACTGCAATTATTGTAATAAATTTCTTGGTCATTTTTAATTTCTTTATATTGTTCTATTTCCTGGAATTTGTTGCAGCTAGTGCATTTCCATGTCATTCCATATTGCAGATCATTATACAGTGGTAACTGCTCCATCTTCTTCGTTTAACTGTTGTACTGTGAATTTTACAAATTCTAAGTTATAGATTTTTTCTTTTAACAGTTCTTTTTCTTTTAGTAATTTCAGTTTCTTTTGTAATTGAAATTCCTCTTCAGTTTGTCTTTGTGTGTTTAAAGTTTCTCTGCGGTTACAGTTTTTGCAATGTCATAGCTCTATATCTTTGTTGTATTTCTTCGAATATTTTGAGTATTCTTCTAATTTCTTGTAGTGTCCACACTTTGGACAATGTTTTTCTGTAATTCCTGATTTGGTAATTCTTTTTTCGGGTTCATATCTTCTAAAATTATTTCTGCAGTTAAAGCAGGTTTTTAATCATTTAGAATTTTTAATAAATACAAACTGTTCTTGCAATTTTGCACAGGTTAAGCAGCGTATTAAGTATTTGAATGAGAATTTTCCTTTTTTGTCTGTTATTATTTCTACTGACTGTTTTTGATAAAATCGTCGTATTCCTTCTCTGCACTTGTCACAGGTTTTATTTATAGTTCCGGTTTTATTATTTATGGAATAAGTTCCATTAGGTGTTCTGTACTTGCAGCACCTTTTGGCTGTTTTGTCAAAATTGTACTTCCTCTTTGTTATTTTTTGTTTGGTCATTAATCTTTGTTCTAAAATTGTTTATGAAATGTTTTAAATTCTTGGTAATTCTTTACTTCTCAATATTGGTCACTTATGCTATGGTTTGCTACTTTCCAATATAAGGTTATTATCATAGACTGTAATCGTGATTGTAATCCTTCACATATCCACTTTAGTCTTTCTTCTTCATTGTTTACAAAAGTATATCTTCTCAAATTTGGGTTGTAGTTTAGATACTCTGTAGTGTTATCAATTATTTCTCTGGATGCTCTGATCAGGTAATTTAGGTGATTTGTTTCTGATTCTTTGTGAAATAGAGAAAATAAATTGTGTGGATTATGCCCTCTCCAATACTTTCGCTACTGGCTCAACAAAAACTCTCAAAGAACCCCCAAAAAATTTATTCCCCATGAGAAAATTTTTAATAAAATCAAGGATATGCTTACACCACACCATGGATATAGTTTATACTATAATATTTCAGGATTGTATGACGTGGGTAAATCGACTCTAGTTCACGAAGCGGCAAAGGAAGTCGGTTGTGGAGTGATTTATGTCGACGTACCAACTAATGTTGAAAAATTTGGGGATGAATTTGCCAAAGCTTTAAACATATCATTCGACAAACCTATCTCATTAACATTAGCTCTGCTTAGAAATATTTGTGGAATCCCTCTAAAATCAGGTACGCTGAGTAATTTGCTGAAATTTTAATTTTACTTGCTATTTACTTTGAATAAAAACTATATAGGTATTTCTCAAGATCAAAAGTGGATAAGAGCTCTTGACTCTTTTAAGCATGGTGCTGAGACCTATTTGAAAACCTATGGAAGCCTGCTGTTATTATATATGATAATGTCGACCGTCTTGCTCTTAAGAATCCCAACCTACTTGACGTGCTTCAAGATGATGCTGATGTTTCAGAGTATATTCCTTTATTTGTGACTAGTGAGGGGACTGTTAGGAGGATGCGAGGTATGGGATAGGGATTGGAACCACTTAAAAATTTTCTAGTCGTTTAACCATATGAATCGTTTAATTCAGTCAGCATTACAACTGTTTTCATAAATTCTGGGACATTTGAAAATTTTGCTCGCTTCCGAAATCCTTCAGTTCTGTCTTATGGATCATCTAACTCACAAATTTTTAAAGTGTCTCGGAATTTATGAAAACAGCTGTAAAACAATTTTGGCACATAATTAACATAAAAAAAATCATCCAGAAACTATGAAAAAAAATTTTTATACGGTTAAACGGCTTCAATCTTTAGTATGGAAAACATACAGTTTATTATGTTATATATTTATCTATCTTTCAGGAAGAAGTTCATGGTATCGGGCAGCTCTAACTTTTGAAATTGGAGACATGACAAAGGATGAATCAATGGATTACCTAGTAAATAAAAGTGAAATTCCTTTAAGAGAAGCAGAACAATTTTATAACCTTCTTGGTGGCCGAATTGAACATCTTACAATTGCAGTTGACTTGTTTAAGAATACTCCATCATTTGAGGGTTGGTGTTTGACGAATTGTTCATCTTGTCTACATATTGTACTCATGTATTTTCTATTTAAAATAGTATGCAAGAAAACAAAAACATATACGAATTTTTATAGAAGCTGGTATAAATCCTGGAGGCCATTATCATAATATTGCGAAAAAGATTGTCAAGATTTTACTTGAGAAAGGGAAAATTAAATATTTTGATTATTATGCGATTGTGAATGATCGGAAGGTTGCAGACTTTCTACTAGCTACTAACATATTTTCGGTTCGTCCTGCGAAACTTGATATCAATTTTAATTCAAAGTTAATAGAATCTATTATTCGTGAAAAAATAGTCAGCTTATATTAATATAGTTGTATATTAAAATATATGAAAATAAATGCTTGCTAAAATATTATTAGAAACTCTGTGATTACTTTTAATCAATTGCTTTGTTATCTTGGCATTAGTCAACTTTTGTAAATTCTAAATATACTTGTGTTTAACGTTATTCTAAAAATTGGTTTACTCTAATCAATTTTTTATCCTATTAAAATTTTAATATTGTTTGAATATTGAGCGAAGATATTCAAATAACGGTTTAGTTAATTTAAATATTTAAGACCATTTTCAAATCCTATTAAATTTTATTAATTTGTAGAATTCGGAATTGTATTTTATAATTTGGCGCTTTTTCAAAATTTTCAAACGACTAGTTGTCACTAATTGATTTTCAATTTTCGATTTGTAGTGCTCATTTAACCGACACCTCAGTTAACCGACAATCAGTTCACAGACAAAATTATTTTACCAACAATTAATTCACCGTCATTGTTGTTAGGGTTAGGTTAAATTAGAGTTATGGTTAGTGTAATTTATAAAAATAACTTGTCGGTGAAATAAACTGTCAGCTTGTCGGTAAAATAACCTTGTCTGTAAATTAATTGTCGGTGAAATGATACGTACGTACCCTTACAAGGGATATCAAAAAATTGAAAAAAAGAAGGATTTGAACTGTATATTATGCACGTTGGTTCGATAGAATTAATAATAAAAGGAAAAATGGAGCACTTAAAGTGATCTGTGATTCAAATAAGAGTATGCAAGAATTTATCCAGAAACTGAAAAATTTTCGTAAAATTGGTATGTGAATCATTTGTTTTTGAATGCTTTTAATAAATTGTGTATCTTGTAGTATAAATTGAGTTGATTTACTTACAAGAACTTATTATAGAGATTTTAATTTACATAACGCAAATATCACTAATTTTGGACTTTCTAGAAAAGTGAAAGAAAAATTTATGGAATTTTACTATATATAGAACCCGAAGTTTTGGTGGATCAACTGTACACTCAAGTATCAGATATTTATAGTCTTAGATTTATCATAACTGAGATTTCGATAGAATTCAGTTTGACAGTTATCTTGCATCTGTGGATCAAAACCTGAATGTTTGGAATCTGATTGTTAAATTAGCTATGAAATATATGGATAAAGATCTTGCTTGATAAACAACTTACTACAACAGAATTATTCACTCGTTGGTTAGATGAAATAGATCAGAAAAATGATAATAAGAATCAAAAAACAAAATTTGGAAACCGATAAGATTAAACTAGGATCGATTTGACAAATATATTCTTAAGATGTGTATACTAGTAAGCTATAGATTATATCAGTTTAGCACTGTTACTGCATAATACGTATCCCATACCATAATTAAGACCCAACTAAAGGTTTCCTCACGCACCTCACTCAATAGATCAAAGATAAATCTTTAATTGTCGCAAATAGCTGCCATTTCGATGAACAGATTAACAAGCTACAAACTATCTTTTTAAAAAATTTTACCATTGATAAAGGTCACTCAAGCATTACTTTTACTTTTTTTTTTATATTTAATAAACAATGAATTCTCAACAAATTTCTAAACGATCTAAAAAAAATAGAAGCTTTTAAAGCAAATAACCGATATCTTGATATAAATATAATAAATGCAACCTACCTTTTAACTTTAATCAAACTATAATGAATACTACTATTCCATTTTTCGTTCAGCCAAATTTAAAAATTTTTCAGCAAAGATGACCAAAAATTAAAGAATTTTGGGTAGATGTTTTTCTTATTTAACAGATAATGAAGGTTATAAAATATCTTCATATTATCTATGCTATTTTAGTGAGTGCGAAATAGCAACTGCAGAATTACTATAGATCATCTATAGCAATTTTCGTCACTGACTCCATTAACTAATCAGATTAATATATACTAATATAATATATATATAATGCAATAAAAAATATAATCCTTTAGGACTATGCAGATGTAAAGCCACTGAGCTCTACAAAATAAAAAAACAACAACTTTTATTTAAATTAGATTATTGAAAGTTAGCAAATTTAACTTTAATTTATGAAATCTATATAGCTCTAGAGAGTTATTTTCTAGTAAAGATTCTATTTATATTATATTATATATTATTTAACTTATATACTTATATGTAAGTTATATGCTTATATTAAAAATTAAAATTGAACCTAGTTATAATAAGTTTTAATATACAAAATAATAAAAGCAATTCCAAGAAACATTTATGCATAGATTTTAAAAAGCATTATTAAAAGTTCACTGATCAAGAAAAAACATGTATTACTCTTTATATCAATTTCAAACTAATGTAAATTGAAAAATGATACAGAACAAGCTAGTCAGATGAGTTTATAATCATAATAAAAAGGTGTAATTGACAGAAATTTAATATTACATTTCGCATTCTTGTGCACGATTTCGATCAATAGAAATTGCATCTCGGGAGATGCTTGAGAATGCTAAATTAATTTGAAAACAGCTCTAATTGAATGCAATAACTACATAAAATCAGGTTTTCACTCTATCCTTAACAATCCCAAATCAACTTAGGACGTTCTCAAGCAGCTCTCTCAATATGACTAGCTAGTGATCGAGTTATTGCTTAAACTATTGTGATTAATTGAGTTGTTAATGGTTAACTGAAGAACATGTTTAAAAAAATTTAAATTCATCGAAATGGTATATTTGGTTAGTTTATTCATTTTTAGTTAATTAGAATTTTACCTCTGATCTATTGAGTGAGGTGCTTGAGAATAGAGCACAAAATTCTATTATAAAATGCTGGATGTTCCGTTTAATTAAAATGATTTCCAGGCGTAGTTTTAAAGCGGCCAGAAATTTTATAATAAAAATATACAGTATTATTGTCGTGGTCGACATTGGTACCCCGGGCATTCGTAGTGCAAGGGTCAGGTCAAGGGATCATGATCGGGTCATGATCCCAATTTGCATGAATGGCGTGATTCGGGTGTGTATGGGAATTAATTAAAAGTTTAAAACGTTGATTGCATGAGCGATGAGATAATATGTAATAATCAGTGACGCTGAATAGCGATTAGTAATAATATATAAGGTATTGATCCCGAAAGGGAGAGTACCTAGCTTTTAAGCTTCTTTAGTTTCAAGCTTTGTGAATAATAACTTTCGAACTTAGTGAATAAACTATTACCTGTGTGAATATTAATATCGGTTGAAGGACCTGTACGATACACGGTCTTCGGAAAGAATAGTCAAGCGAGTGAAGATTATTAGTAAAGACTCACCAATACCCGGGAGTTCCAGGAATATCCGTGACAATTATTTTCACAGGAGTTTCTAAATTTCGTTTGTCGAAAAAAAGCAGGTTACGACATGTCGAAACTTTGTACCCTGCTTAACACCTTAAGATTCTATTTTACTTACGATGCCAATAAATCGGGTCCGTATCACCTCATAGAAGTTTATTTCACAGACACCTTGTTTCACAGAAAATCAATTGTAGAGAAGTTTATTTTAAAGACAATTAATTTACAGACAGTCATTTCATAGACAGTTCATTTTATAGACATTCATTTTGTAGACAATCTTTAACACCGATTCAGAAGATATTTGCTATTAAAGATTGCCTATAAAATAAATTTGTCTACAAAATAAACTGTCTATAAAATAAACTGTCTATAAAATAATTGTCTTTAAAATAAACTTGTCTATGAAATGATTGTCTCTGAAATAAGGTGTCTGTGAAATAAACTTCTACGAAGTGATACGGACCCCAATAAATCATACAATAGGGTGATTCAAATTAATGTTTAGGTTTCTGATTTTGAATTATTGCGGTTTGCATAATTTTGTGACCCCTATGTTTTTTTTTTTTTTATGATTAAATGATTGTGATTGCGATCGCGATTGCCAAAGCCAGCCAATTTGTCATGAATCTGAGTTTGCGTCAAGTTCAGATTTTAGCAATCGCAATTATTTAATAATAATAAATTAGTGTCATATTTGTTTTGAAATAAGTAATTTATAAATTATATTTTTTTTATGATTATAAAATACCATCAGAAAAATACATTTATTTTGTTTTCTGATTTCTGAATTTCAAAACAGAAATGGGATTTTTTTAACTTATTTTCAAATTATTTTCGAAATAAGTTAATTTCGAAACACCTAATTATCGCAGGTTAATCTATGACTTTCGTCACAGAATGACCTAGTCCAAATGGCGAGCACTTGATCGCTTCGCTATAACCGATTTTAAGTTTTATATTCAGGCAAGTATTTTAATTATATTAATTAAGAGCGAGACTAATTCAAGCTAACTCTAACTATTACTACATTCGCTTCGCTTATATACATACATTACTTACATCATAATTTGCTCATACGATCATACGATCGTTTGACTCTTACCGCTTTCTTATTATAATAAAAAGATAAGATGTATTGCGTGTAGGGATGAAAAAAAAACGGTTTAACCAGTTTTTTAGATGTTTTAAAACTTTTTTAAAACAATTGGCGCGGAGACTAAAAATTAAAGTTTAGGGCTAAAATGCTGATTCACCAAATTTCATAGAGAAAACTTTTAAAGAAAAAATATTTATTTTATAAACTTTCGTTATTATATAATTAATTACAAGAAATGCGCAATTGCTTA